CATTTCAGCTGAAGAATTTGGGGAGGGGCACAAGCATCCAATTTATAGCAAGGCTGTCCTACACTCACTTTGCTATCTGGAATCTGTGCTAATGACAACATCTCGGCTGGAGCAGACAGGAGCAATTTCATTCCAGCATCTTCCTCCAGATGAATGCAAACTAGTGAACCTCCCATCCAGGCTTCTCTGAAGTTAGGCAGAGAAGGTCCCTGCTCTCTCTGGAATTGAAACAATAAAAGGCCAGAGATTGTCCTGATAGTAGTAAGTATATGTAATGATTTACGTAATCCAAATGGCTCTGCGACCTGGAAACTGGCTGGTATAAGAGGTTAGGCAAATCCTTGCTGAGGAGTGTAATGCTACAAACTGTCACTGTCTATTTAAACTTCACAGGGAGTGCCTAATGGAAGAGGCAGCTGGAATTGCTTTGTTCTTTCAGAGAATAGGGTGTGAGGGCTTCTCACACTTAACGGCTGTCCAAAATGCACATGCAGGGACTGCCCATGATAGCTGAGTGCTGGAGAGCATGCTGAAGAGCGTGCTGAAAGCACAGACGTTTGTCTCTGCATCGTAAAGAAAGATGTGATTTTGCTACAGGGTGCATGGCCCTGTCTTATGGCTTTTCAGCAGCTCCTGCGAAGTTCCCGCTGTTGAATTTGGGGAACGTGTTCCACACCGGAGAAACTGCTTTCTGCTGGGGACTTGGGGTGAAGGGCTGCCTCTGTGGTGGAGGGCCGAAATGGCCTCTCTGCATGTTAGCTCCTACTCCACTCCCTTCCAGGAAACCTGTCTTGTTCTCCCTCCATCCATGCAGCCTAGCCATCTTCCAAGCTCGAACCCTTCTTTGTTAAGCCCTCCTTGATCACTGGCATGGAAGTCATTTCTCCTTCCTTGTATTATTGCAGTGGACCCTGTGGGAGAGAATCTCTGCCGTTACTTTATGTGCCTTTTGGAAAGAGCTGACAATGTCCGTGTGAAAGACAGGAGCCCCAGGGCCCTCTAATGAGAGGCAAGCCGCAAGAAGCCACCATGGGGCTGGGATTCTCTGCTGTTGAATTCATCCTTGTTGAATAATTGAGTCATTTAAAGAAAACATGACAGGTTTGGGGGATGGCAAGTGCTTGGTATGGCTGGACACAGGGTGCCTCACAGTGGGGACAGGAAGTGAGGTTGGCCAGGGGGCCTGGGAGACTCAGTGGTGTGTTGATGCCTGTATGGCAGCCTGTGTATCCTCTATTACCCTTTAGTTAGGATGTGATTTTAACAAAATTTATGCAGCCTCAATAATTTCATTTTACTATTTAATCTTTTTAATATGTTCCATTAGCTAATATTATTTACTTTTGCCTTTTTATCTGGAGTTTTTATTGTATTATCTGTTTTATGATATAGTCTGTTTATCTTTTATAGTTCTAACATTTTAATTGTGCACTGTTCCGCTCATCACATTTATATTCCAGCATTTTTAAAATTTTACTGGTATTCTTTCCAGCATGCGTTAAGCTAATGTTTACTTACGGCTTTTCCTTTTTCCTTTTTCCAAACTGGTGTTGCCCTTTTAGCTTATTTCATCTTATTACTGTCGGAGCTGGCGGTGCTGAGGCCTGGCCTCGCACCCGCCTTTTCACCCTCCCACGGGCCCTGGCGGTCCTGTGGGCAGAGAGGGTGGCCCCGAATCTTTATGGAGGGAGTGATTGAATGCATGATTCACTTATGTGCAGTCAGTCACTGGGGCCTGGCCATTTCACCTCCTGAACATTTTAAACCCACCCCTTCATCCCCTCCATCCTCGGCCAGTACAGTCTACCGCCATCCCTCACCCGGGGCTCTGCTCAGCCTCCTAACGGCCTCCTGTCTCCTTTCTCCTTCTTTCCAATTTACTCTCCACTCTGCAGTGCAGTGATTATTTTATAAATGTAGATGAAGTATCCAAACATACTCCCATTGATTTTTGGCTAATGAATTAGGATATATAACAGTTCTCAAGAATTTATATACAGAATTTAACATAAATGCTCCTGATATTTTAAAAATAATTTATGTTATTAAAAATATTTCTACTATGGAAAATTTCACACTTACAGATGAAAGTAGAATGAATAGTAGAGTGAACTCCCATATACCCATCACCTGCCTTCAACCATTATCAATAACTGCAATCCCACTTTTTGTTTTTATAGTTTGCTTGAGTAGCACATTTTTATATTTTGTAATTCCAAAAACAGCATATAATTTCAGTGCAATATTTCTAAAAACACACACATGGCCTTGTCAGTGGCCTGCCTCAAACTTTTCAGTGTCACCCCAGAGCCACAGGAGTGGGTGCCAACACCCCAGTCAGCACCTACCCGCCTTGGCTCACCAGCAGCCTTGTCTATGGCTCCTCATCTCTCCCACACCAAGTCCCACCCACAAATCCCCTCACTTGTTCTCAAACTGCTCTGTGCTAGTACCCCATCCTTGTCCTGGGGTCAGGGGGCGTGGGTCAGGTCTGCATACACAGGAGGTGATGGGGCAGATGCACAGGCTGGCTCTTCATATAAATGTCCAAGTCTGCAAGTCTGCCCTCTGGAAGTCAGTCAGCAGGTCTGACAAATAGCTCGCAGGTCTCCATGGAATTGCTTTTTGTTAGAGGCAGAAACATTGGACTGCTTGCGGCTTTGGCCTTTGTGTAAGAACAGAGCATGTTCTGTGGGGCTGTATCTTATCCATTCACCTTCATACATTCATATCTGGATGGATTAGGAGAATGGTCTCTCTGCCTCTCCAAGATAGGGCAGGGTTTTACACCCACACATAATCTCTTTTCTGAGAATATTGTCCAAAAACTAGGTCACTTATTGTGAAGGAAATTAGGCAGTAATTAAATTTAACTGGGTGTTACAGTATTGGTGGTTTCATTTTAGAGGAGTGTGCCTTCTTAATTACTTTATTGCTGCAGTTACACTGGTGGAGGGTTTTTTTTTCTTTTTTCTTTTTGTAAGGGGAAGGTTGTATTTAATGTTAGACGATGATTTCTAGACTTGCATTTTTAATCAACAGAGTCTCACCTTCAAGAGCGAGTTCTGTTTCCCCGTGCCCTTTTCAGGTCTACCTGATGGAAGCCAGCTCCCTTGTATGGTCATTCAGCTTAGCCATCTTGGGATACCTTTCATCAAAAGAGTGATGTGGACAGAAGAGACTAGGTTAAGAGGAAGGCAGCTGGTTTGGGTGGTTTCTTTTCACGTGTGTGGTCAAATGTCACAATTGTCTCCCTGCTCTTTATTTTCTGGTTGGAAAGGGTACAGAGAGGTAAATCCTGCAGAAGCCCAGCCTGTTGGTCCAGCTGCAGAGCTGGTGGGAGAACCCAGGTTTCATGACTTGCACTCAGTGGCCTGCTGCTCACCACATTCCCAGAGGGGAGGCGGCATCAGGGCAGCTGGGAAAGAGTTGGGTCCCAGCTGGAAATGGGCACCATCATTCCCGTAGGAAATGCTGAGTGAAAGGACCACCTTGACGGGCTGGCCACACCCTCAATATGCTGGATTACGTGGCCCCCTCACATTTCTCTAAGTCCTAATATCCATTTAGATCACCCATAGAGATCATCCATTAGATCATCCATTTAGATTACTCGAGCAGCAGCTCCAAAACACTGTGGGTCAGCACTTGCTTTCCACTCTGCCCTTCACCCAAATGTCTTTGACACAAGGCCTCCTCCCCCTACTCCCTTTGTTTAAACCTTCTAGGCAAATCAAGTGAAGTCCATTAGAGTTCCCAGAGGTGCCCATTCCCAATTTCCTGTGGTTTCTTCACTGGGAGCTGTTATTATTAGCATTTGTGAGAAAAACCTACTGTTAAACACATAGCTTGCCATGTTCCTTAAAAAAGAAAAGTAGTTTATTTAGTACTTTTCATGCTGATTCACTCTTCCAAATTAGACAGTGCAGGATACCAGGAAGCCAGCGCAGGGAAGTTGTTGTGTGTCTGTATGTGGAAGAAATCACAGGTTTCAGGTGGGAGCCTTGCTGAGGAGGACGACACTGGGGTTGCGCGTTAAAGCCCTGTCTTGGCTTTGTATATGTGAGTTCTGGCAATTTTTGTGAGCAAGGAGTAAATTGTAAACAGCAAAATAATAGCTCAGCTCTGGAGATTCCTTAAAGAGCAAAGAAAGATCCCACAGAGCACATTTTAGCTGGTTAATAAGGAAGCCAAGTACATGGGTTCGTATATAACCTGCTCCCACGTTCTATCAATATGTAATTACCACATATTTTCCAGTCTGCCCCTGGGAGACATGGCAGGTAAATAGATTGAGAAGAAAATAATGGTGCTTGCTGCACAATTTATGAGATTGATACCTGTTAACACTTGAACAGGCTCTTTGCAGCCTCTGAAGGACTGGGATGTTCTCAGTACAGACAAAGCAAAGTGACTGTTTAAGTTCTTTGTTCTTTTAAATACCTCTGTATACACAGACCTGTGTAGCATGCAGAACATGTAAATGTCTTAGGGCTTGGAGGTCTTGCTGGACTCGATCAGGGGAAGCCTATGGGTTACATGGAAAAATGAGTTGTCGTCATCTGCCTCCACTACCCCCAATTTCAGGCTCAGCCCTGGGGGCTTTTTCTCCCCTGCTGGGGTTGGTGGGGGCCTTGGAAGGCGCCCCATGCTACTGCAGTTGCTACTATGCAGGTGACCACCAGACTAAGACAATCTTCAAGTTCTGTTTTTCCCTCTTCTTCCTTTGCGGGGGAGGAGAGAATATTTGGAAAATAGAATTACACATACAATAACCTAGAATCCCACTATTTTACCTTTTTTTTGCATATTACCTTTTGTTTTTATTCTCACAAAATAAAAATATACATATTTGTTCTTTATAGTTAATATTAGTGTATATATACTTCTTGAGATTCTATTTTATCCCCACATCATATCACATTTTCTTAATGTTTTACCCAGATTTCACACTAGTCATCCTAAATTAAGTCTGCCTAACCTTTTTCATGATGATGACATAGCGGGCCTTCCCCCCACCCCAGTCCTCCACTACCACAAACTATGCAGTTGAGTTTTCTACATTTGGGGAGATTGCAGGGGTCAGCACATCTGTTGTACAATGGATAAGCCTCACCCTGGGAAAACCATATTTGTGATCGTGGTGTCTCCCCTGCCTGGTGAGTGAGATACATCAGACCCTAAGTAAGCACAGACATGTGTATGAGCTGCTCAGCACAGTGACTCTCATTACTTCGTTTGTATATTTATTCATTTATTGAACAAACTCTTATCAAATATCCACTCTGTGCCAGCATTGGACAGAAGTAAGTAAATAAGATAGAGTCCTTGCCTTTAAGAGGTTCTAGCCTAGTGACATGTAAACAGAGGATTGCCATTAAAAGAAAAACTTTTTTTAACTCACAATACTTCTGACCTCAAATGTATGGGAGGTTTTTCAACACCAACCCATTTCCAAGTCTCCAGACACCCACTGGGTTTCCCACAATTCAATTCTGACACAGGTTAACAGCTCAGTGCCACAAGACTGACCCCACTTTGGACTCCAATCGCAAGAACGGACCTCTGACCAACCTGCTATAAATTGAAGGTCCCACGACGCCCTCCACAGCTTTGATAATTTGCTACAATGGCTCACAGAACTCAGGGAAAAACACTGCTTATGATTACCAGTTTATAATCGAGGGTACAACTCAGGAACAGCCACATGAAAGAGATGTGTAGGGCAAGGTATGTGGACGGGTGCTTCCATGCCCTCTCCGGGGGTGCCACCTTCCCAGCTCCTCAATGTGTTCACCAACACGGAAGCTCTCTGATCCCCGTCGTTAGGGTTTTTTTTGAGGTTCCATTACATAGACACCATTGATCAAATCATTGGCCACTGGTGATTAACTCAATCCTTAGCCCCCTCTGCCTTCCCCAGCAGTCAGGGAGTGTGGCTGAAAGTTCTAAACCTCTAATGACATGGGTTTTCCTCTGGCAACCAACCCCCATTCTCCAAGAGTCAACTCATTAGCCTAAACTTGGATATAGTTGACAGAGGCCTATTATGAATAACCAAAGACAGTCCTCTCACCCTTATCACTCAGGAAATTCCAAGGGTTTAAGGAGTTTTGTGCCAGGAACCAGGGACAGAAACCAAATATATTATTACTTTTACTGCATTACAAAATCACAGCCACCCAGCCATTATGTGCTCTCTGTGGCTGAGGGGCCATGGTTTAAAAGTGGAGAAATCCTGTTACCTGTAGTAGTTGGAGAAGGCCCCAGGAAGGTGCCTGAACCTTGGCAGACAAGTGTGGGGTCAGCACATGCAGGCAGGGGTGGCATGAGAGGGCTGAGCATGGCTCTCTCTAACTTGAGTGACTATATTCACTTTTAAAACTGGGACACTTGAGAGTGAAGGAGAGACACCTGCTAATAGTTACACAGGACACTGGGTTTAAATGCGTCTGCTCCTAGTAAATCACGTGTGTGGTTATTCTCAGTGGACTCTTCTTATCAGAACCATGGTATCTTAGAGCTCGTGTGGTAAGTGGGGTTGGTGCTTGTTCAAGTGCAACTTAAAGGGCACTAACCTCCTCCCAACAGGTCAGAGGAGCCTGGGAATCTGCATTTTAACTAACAGCAGATACAGATCTAATGCAGAAAATTCATGAACTATGTGTATGTGTTTTTATTAGGAGTCCATTTAAATTTATTTAAAAAATTTTATTACGAATAGCTTTGAAAATACATCAAGAAGAGACAGCAGAATAAAGAGTTTGATATATGTTCATCGGCTCCAACAATTAGCAACACATTCCCCTAATGTTGTTTTATCTGCCTCTCTCTGTATAATATTTTTAGGATGAACAATTTTAATGTAATTTTCAGGCATTATTTCACTGATATCCAACATGAACTTTTTTTATATGACTAGAGAATACCATTATCATACCTAACAAAATTAACAATAACCCTTAACATCTTCTAGTGCTTCATCATTGTTCAAATTTCCCTAATTGTCTCAAAACTGCCTCTTTAGAGTTGATTTGTTAAGATCCACAAAAGACTGACACACTGTATTTGGTTATTATACTTTTTAAGCCTGAGACATTTAAAAAAAAAACAGTGCTGTATATATTTATTCATGATATGGGTCATGTGTCCTGCAAAATTTTATGGCTCACATTTTGAGTAACATTGATCACATCTTATATATATTATTAACTATTTTTTTTTCTGAAGAATTATTCTATGGAATTGGTTAGCTCCTTGCATAGACTCACAGTCAACATGGGTGAGGATGTTGGTCACATGGTGAACAAAAAATTTCTGAGACAACTCTATTCACTCACACTCATATTATTGTTTATTCATTTATTTTTTCAACAAATAGTATAAATATGCGGCAACCACCCTACAGATTCATTGACATAAAAGAAAGTTTCTGTTTTCAAGGAGAGAGAGATTGAAATCTAACCTGACTAGTAGCAGTGCAGTGAAGAATTCTGGATGCTGAGTCTCACCCACAAGAGCAGAGGAGGGCGGAGGTATCTGAAATTAGATATCACTGTCCCTACGTTTACATGTTTATTACTTTTTTATTTTATCATACCTTTTAAAACCATGTTAAATATTTATGGTAAGTAAAGCAATCAGAGCTAAATAAATACAGAGTTGGCAATGTCCCTCCTTACCCTTTCTAGTCTCAACTTCAGAAGTCCAATGTCAATAGTTCAGTGTGTGCCCACCCATGTCCTTGAGCTGAATCCTGTAAGCTGAGAGAGGCCTTCTCCAGGTGGCCAAGGTGGATGAAGGCCTTTGGAAAAGGTTTCTTGCTGTGGAATATTCTCTTGATTGTTTAAGGCAGAGGGGACCCTGTGAAGGACTCCTCTGAGCTAAACAGAGTCATGCCCAGATGTATGCCATGACTAACATGGCCACGGTGTGGCCAAGTGGCAATAAGGAGCACCTGACCCCGGCCATTTAGCTGTGGGAATGGAGAAAGAGGACACATGTGACTAAGGGGGTGAGTAGTATCCTCTTCTTACTGGGGACTCTTATTCCTACTTACAGAAAACTGGTGTTTCTTGACTTTACCTTTACTTGATACAGCGAATTAACCAAGGGTATCCACTTGATTTGCTCACATAGCCCTCGGATGGATTGGCAGAAACTGCTGGCAACATTCTCTCAGCAGCGTTCTGTAGTTGAGTCCTGACTCAGCAAGACCCATGATCACTAGTGGCAAATGGGTGGGGAAAGGTGTGTCATGTTCCTGGCCCAGCTGCCATGAAGGAGGTGATAGGGCAAGGGCTCGGGTGGCTTGTGATACTAAGAAACAAGGCAGGAGCACTTGAGTTAAAACACAAGCTTTGGAGTTGAAAATATCTGGGTTCAAACCCCAACTTTACCACATGTGTGACCTTGGACCAGTCAATAAATTCTAACCTCTGGCTTCTGCGCCTGTGAAGTGGGATGGGTGAAACCTGCCATTTCCAACCTTCAGGAGAGTGAAATACGAGAATATACAGAGCACAGAGCACAGTGCCTGGCACATTGTGAGGTGGCTTTTGTTGTACTATAATATTATGTCATGGCTCCTCCCAGGGTTGTGAAGCAGGATGGTTTTGAGATCCCATAGCCCTTGAGAGGAGCCTGCCAACTTATTGAAGACCTGGCAGGCAGTGGACAGCAGGCAACAGTTCCTGGCTAATGCTAACTTCCCTCCTCTCCTCTTTTCTTACCCCCAGGCTGGCTGTTGCTCTGTTTTTCAATTTTTGCCCCTGACATATGATCTTTGCTGTGCATTTTAATGAGATCTCACCCAGGGCAGGGCCTGGTTGCGAGGCTTGCATTTCATATTTGTCTGCTTGTCAATCCACCAGGCCTGACATTGATGGGCATCCACTATGCCTCGTACTTAGGTCTTGGCTTCTTATGATCAAAGCATTGGTACCTAAAGGGGCACTATTTATAGCATTGTGTCTGTCTCCTGCCTTAACCTTGAAATCCCGGCTTTAACTTATTTTGTTAACCCTGCTGGGGAATAGTCAGCTGATTCTTAGCATCCCTTTCTCACCCTATTCAATTTCTCTGCAAATGATAGCTCTTTGTCTCCGGGGAAGAACTCTGTCATCTCCATTCTCTCACACTGTGATTGGAAACACTGCCTAGGGGGGATGGCAGGCTATCTGGGAGTAGAATATGTCTGCTCTGTTTTTCCTGAAGCAATTAATTGTGCATGGAATTGGGGAGAGGAGGAACCCTATGAAATAGCCATCTTTTTCCTTGGGAAGGAGGGTTGTCAGCCTTGTTAATATTAAGTCACTTGCTCTAGCTTCTTGCAAGATCTTTTCTGGTTTTCAGCAACTCTTTCTACTCCCTGAATTCTGGGACAGTAAATCAGGGCCCTTATTAGACTTGTCCATTTACATGCTAGGATTTTCTGGGACAGTGGTTGGTGGCCCAGAGGTAGCTAAGAGGGATGATGGAGGGAGTAGGCAAAACATCCTCTTTTCCTTATCACTGTTTTTAAGATGGTTGTTAAGACAACGTTGAAAACACCTTTGGGAAGCAGAGTAAAATAAGCAATTGGAACATTAGTGAACAGATGGTCAGATGAGCATAAAAGGTTGCCTACAGGGGACACCACTTTTATGTGCTAGTTCCCCCCACCAACCAAGGATCCAGACATAACCTGCTCTTGCCTCATGTTCTCTGCCCACACCTTTACAGGTACCTGTGTTCCAAGGTGGTCTTTTATCCATGTGTTTTTCAAAGAATTGAGACAGTAAAATTTTTTTCTTTACTTTCATAGCAACTTGACTTATATCTGACATTTTGCGTAATCCCCACATGCTGGAGAGTATAAATTTAATGGGGGAGAGAGAGGAAGGACCCAGGAGCTGGAGTAGGTGGGAGATTCAGCTTTGAGTACTTATAGTATGGTGTGGTGGTCTTTGCACATGGGATTATTATGCAGCAATAGATAACTAATGCCTACTGAGTACGGAGAGCAAGACCAATAAAATGGTGTTGGCCACAATCAATATAGGATAAGGTATATAGAGCAAAATGGAATCAATCATGTCAACCAAGATGGCTACAAGTCAGCCATGGCACTTTGGTGCAAGAAGGAAACTACCTATGTCATGCTAGACACATCTAGCAAGAAGACAC